TATTATCCAATGTCAATTTGAATACTTCGGTGGCAAATCTTCTGCCGTTATAAATTCAAAATATCTAGGTGATTTGGCTTTTTTATACAGAATTGGTGATACTATTCAATCTCAAGGTGGTGGCGAAATTTCTTTTTGTTTAAATGGAATGTCCGACGAAATTTCTATTCCATTTAATCAATTGACCGGATTCAAAATCACTAATGATGGGAAAATTAATTTAAGACTTAAACCGAATTTTCAAAGAACTGTTAAGCATCTTGATTGATTATTTATTTAGATTATTTTGTTTATTTACTTTTCTCTTTTATTCATGTATATATTTATGACTATTACTATTGTTTCTTTAAAAATTAGTATCGTCTTCATCTTGGTGGTTATCCCTATCTTTTAGAACCAACTATTTCTACTTCGGATCCGACTAATGGAAAACTTCATGCTTTACATTCTCTTCTGTTGGCTCCTGACCGTTCCGGAAAACTTTCTATATTGACCGATATTGAAATTGCAATTGAAAAATTATGGTTCAGAAGACATGGTGTTCATAACGAACTTGTTAAAGATAGTCATAAAGTATTTGATCTTATTAATATCTTGAATTACTTTAATTAATTTATTTTTTATCTAATCTCATCTAAGTTTTTCTTCTCTACTTTTCTATTTATTATTTATTTCTTATTACAGAAAATGTATCTGACTTGTGTGTTTCCAACTGAACGCAGAGCACTCTCCTACCCAATTGATTTTCCATATCACAGATTATTATTAGATCTTGAAACTAGATTTAATTTACCTGCTAGTAATATTAATCTTAGATTTAAGAATAGTCGTGGTGATATGATTGGATTAAAAGATGAAGAAACTTGGAGATTAGCGAAAAGTGAAGCTTATAGTAAAAATTTAATTAGATTAACTATTTATATTTGGTGAATAGATTTGATGAATTTTCATTAATTATTAATATCGTTTAAAATTCCTGGTGAAAATAGATTAATTTCATGTTTCATTCTTACTTGATTTATTTATTTATTTGCTTGCTACATAACATACACTACACACTACATACATACTTTATATGTACGTAAAGAAAACAATTCAAAATATTATTTTTTGCAAATTACAGAAATAAACCAATTAAAAAACTCTCTTTTGCAAATTACAGAACTATTCTTACATATTTTTACTTTTTACAATTCGAAAATGACTCGATAATTTTGTTTTTAAATGAATGCTACAAACTATAGGATTTATTTAAACTCAATCAAAAATGTGCCATTAAAACAGGCAAATGTTACTAAATTAACACAAAATAAAAATTAAATATATAGTAAAATATTCATAAAATTTAATGAATTATTTTAATAAATACTTAGTTTAACAAATAGTTTTTTTATACTCACGTACTTAATCAATGCGAATAAACTAAAATTAAATATTCATTAACTGCTTATTTCAAACGTTTAAAGTAATATAAGTTTTAATACTCACGCACTAAGTTAGCACAAATAAAATGAAATAAACTAAGTATTTAAACAGTTATTAAAATAGCTTTCTTAAATAATTGAATTAATACTTAATGCTAAAATCTAAAATTAATATGAATAGTATGAAATTAAATATATATTACGATATTGAATAGGTTATTTTAAGTATAGGATTAATAAACGTTTTAATAATTATTTATTTTAATTAAATAAATTTACTTGGACTAATAAACCCAAAATTTATAATAAAATTAAATAGTAAATATTCATAAACTTTTATTTATAATAACAAATGTTTATGTTTGCAAACAAAATAATTTTTTGACCAATATCCGGATATTAAAAAAAAATTGACATTTTTTTTTTGCCCAAATCAGACCTACATCATTGCCTTTAATAGAGATTTATTTGACTAGATTAATCGGGTTTAGTAAAAAATCTAACCTGACTCAAACTTTTTGAATTTCTTGGATCGGGTTAGAAAACGTTGACCTACAAACGAGTTATACAAGTTTCGGCATGATTCCCCGAAAGTTATTTACCCACCAATTCATTTCCCCGACACCGTAATGCCGACATGCTATTTCATCTACAGAACATTGTTTCGATAAGACATATATTTAACGTTATTTTATTCTTTGTGTAAATCTAGATCAAGTGAAAACGAAATCAAATAGTTTAAAATTTATATGAAATGAATTGTTTTTTAGAAAATATAATTGGATTAACTCACGTTTGCCAATAAATATTGCTAATAGTATTGGGTGTGTTTAATGTTGTTAGACAAAACCCTTTTGCAAAATGACAAAAGACGAAACCTACCTCAAATTACAAAACTTCTGACAAAACCTGCGAAACTTGTGAAACCTGCGAAACCTCTATAAAGACCAATTTCTTATAGATGGCCTAATAAAAGTTAAAGCCCCCTATAAAGAATAAAGACTCTAGTAAAAGATAAAGCATTAAAGGCTAAGTTATTGTTTGATGTAAAGTTATTCTTTTAGAATAATCTTTGATTAAAAACTTATCATTGTTAAGATGTAAAGCCATTTTTTGGATGCGAGGCTATTGTTTAGATGCGAACTATTGTTTAGATGAAAGCCATTGTTTTTGTATAGTGTTAATTAAAAGCGATGCTATATTTTAAATACAGAATTATAATTTTTGAATAGTCTTTGATTAAAAACTGTATTATTGTTTAGATACGATGCCATTACTTTTATAATCCCTAATTAAAGACTATGTTATGGTTTGAATGCGATGTTATAAGTTTTAATTAGTATAAAATAAATTAAAGCTACATATTAAATCTTGCATATGTATAAATTGTGAATGTAATATGTAATAGCGATAGTTAATTATTATATAAAGGTAGATTAGTTAATCAATATATAAATACGATAGTTTTTTTATATTCAAATTTTGTAGACAAAATCTATTAACTATAAGATTATAAAAATTATAAAGTTTTTATTATTACTAAGGATTAGCTATTAAGTATTTGATTCAATATTTAACAAGTTGTTTTTTTTGGTAATATTGGCTAGTCATGCCAGTAATCTATGTTTATTAAAGTTTTGTCACTACCAATAACAATATAACAATAAAACTGTAGCCTGACATCATGCAGCTACTTCAATATAACAAAGTCATCTGAGTGCTCTCATGTAACTAACCACACTAGTAAGGTAGTTAATACCCATAATGAGAGACAAATATTGACCCACTACTCATTTAAAGTCTCATTCAAAAGAGAAAGAAAATTTATATAAAAAAAATACAGAGATATAGGGAGTACGATAAAAGAAAACATATATAAAAAAAAAGAAAAATAAGAGAAAAATAAAAGAAAAAGAAAAAGAATATGGGGTCACTCTATTACAGATAGTTATAATTATAAGCTTGTGTTAAATTTGATAAAATTATATACAACTATCTAAACTAGTTTTTACTCTAAATTTATATAATTAGTATATCTAAAGTAAAAAATTATATAAAAAAAAAATACTTTCTTTGATGTAGATACTATAGAGAGATCAGAAATTTATATTTTAGTTATGAGATATTGTTTGATTAATTGTCATATTTGAGGTATATAATTTATATATTTGCAGTTTATATGTATCTATGTATTTGTTGTAACAAATAAAAATAAACAATGTTACTATTTTGGTAAATAATATATCAATCTTTTGGAGAAAGTAAACTAAATTACCCACTTTTTACAAAATTTTCTCTAAAAAACAGTTGGGTCAATAAGAGTATATAAGATTCTTCTGTAGATTTTATAGTTGTATAGTCATTTTTTTAAGTTTATACTATTGTGTAACACTGGTCAAAATCAAAAATATAAACCAAATATCATCAAGCAATCATCTAATCAATAGCTGGCCGATAGTTTGGTGGCTGCTATAAGATTAGAAGGAAGTAAAAATAAGCCAATATATTTAAGATAGTTATAAAATTTGTTATATCTCAGATAATAATCAGTAAAAAATATCAAAATATCATCTAATAAATAATAATATCATAAAGAAGATATTAGACCGATATTTTAACAATATTATGATTATATCTTGAAGATTAGATTAATCATAAGAAGATATACTATTGGCTTGCTAATAAAAATTTTT